ATTAAATCGGTATTAGGAGTAAGACTACCTTTAGTTGATGTGATAATGTATGCCATGCTTCGTACTTGTTAGTGGTAACAGTAGGTAACTTACTACCTTAGCCGGTAGCACTAGCTAGTAGGTAGACATATGTGCTTTTATTTTAAGAGTTGTTGTTGCCATATTACTAAGTATTGCATCCTCATTTCATGCATATAGATCACGAGTTGGTAGAGTTCATACCCGTGGATGAACAGGAGTACGAGGAAGTCATTGAGGAGTATGAGGAGGAGATCCTCGTGCAAGAGGGAGCCCCGAAGCCTTTTGGTGCTGACTTTGCTGACCCATCGCCTGCCCAAGGCAAACCCTAGTGCATAACCCCTATTTTTAATGATCACTGAATATATATATGATGTGCATTTATGTTACAGGTATTTTATGTAAACTACGTGCATAAATATATCTACCTATGAGTCCTACTAGTACAGGTCGAGTAGCTGCTATGCTAAGGATATCGGTAGCGTGAGTCACCTGCCGTTACTCACAAGTAGGTGATAAATATGATCACTCATGATAAAATGTTGTAAAGGTAAATGGTGACCGGGCAGGGATGTGGTTTGGGTATTGGTGGGTGTAAGGGGTTGTGCCCTGCGGCCAACAGGGCATAGCTCGGTTACACTTTTTCCCTGTCTGTGTCGATTAAGGACCGGTCGTTGCATAAGGCATCGTGGGCAAGTCACAGATTTATTATCCTGAGCACATACTTGGGTATGGGCGCAGGAAAGACTCGTTGCTCTCTTATCATGGATCTGGCTCTTTCTAGACCGACTAATTAGAGGCGGGGATGGTGGAGGTCCTTGCACCGCACTGAGTCTGGGACTCAGGAGTGGGGGCTTAGAGTCCAAGTTTAGACGGGGACCTGGACACCCAGGACAAGAGGGTGATGGGTTAGTTCTGCTTGTGCCTAGGGTACAAGCGGGGCGTGTGTTTTTGTGGTACCTAGCTGGGGGCATTGATTTGCGAATCGCCGGGCGATCCGGTATGGCTTGTTTCGTGTCTAGCACCTTAGTAATAACTAAAAGATGGAAGATGAGGAAATGAAACTGATTGCTCAACTCTTGCTTGAAAGTAGAACATGCGCTTATATAGACTGGATAGATAATAACTTAATACGGCTAATAATAATAACATAAATAAGGACTCACTACTAGTATTGCTTTCTGCCAAAAGAAAACCAGCAAACCATAAAGCTTATCATACTCCTTGGAGTCGGAAAATTATTCCCACTAGTCGGATAAGTCTTGCGAGTACATTGTGTATTCAGGGTTTATTTACCCCTGTTGCAGGTAATGCATGAGAAGTACCTTTGTGTGGAGGATTCTTCTGGTGGGCTCAGACGGATCCTCGTCCTTTATCGCTAGATATTTATTTTTAAATTCCGTTGTTTATTATTCCGCACTCTGACATTTGGTAATGTAATAATGCAATTTCTAAGAACTTCTGATGTATGAAATGGACAAGTATTGTAACTCGTTCTCATTATTGGATCCTTGGAAAAATGTGGATCTTTCGGGTTCTCCCTTGGGGTGTGCCCGACGGATACTGCCCGCTGTAGCTTGCTTTTGGGGTGCTTAGAGTCTGGTGGAAGACGAGCACCTTCGTAAGCGTATTATTTCGGGCGGTTCTGCCACAGAAGACTTGTTGCTCTCTTGCCGTGGGTTCTGGCTCTTTTCGGACCGACTGATTGGAGGCGGGCATGGTGGAGGTCCTTGCACCGCACTAAGTCCGGGACTTAGGAGCGGGGGCTTGGAGTCCAAGTTTGGACGGGGACGTAGACCCCATGACAGGAGGGTGATGGGTTGGTCCTGCTTGTGTCTGGGGTACAAGCGGGGCGTGTGTTTTTAGGGTACCCAGCTGGGGGCATTGATTCATGAATCGCCGACATACTGGTACGGCTTGTCTACGGTCAAGCACCGTAGTAATAACTAAAAGATGAAAGATGATGAAATGAAACTGATTGCTCAACTCTTGCTTGAAAGTAGAATAGGTGCTTACATAGAATGGCTAGATAATAAATTAATCATGGCTCTTAATAATAACATAAATAAAGACTCACTATTAGTATTGCTTTCTGCAAAAAGAAAACCCAGCAAACCATAAAGCTTTGCATATCCCTTGGAGTCAGGAAATTATTCCCACTAGTCGGATAAGTCTTGCGAGTACATTGTGTACTCAGGGTTTATTTACCCCTGTTGCAGGTTAACTTGAGGAGCACTCGTTGTGTGAAGGATTCTTTTGGTGGGCACAGATGGATCCTTGTTCTTTATCGATAGATGTTTATTTTTATTCCGCTGTTTAATATTTTGCACTCTGACTTTGAAAATATAATAATATAATTTTTAAGAACTCTGGATGTATGAAATAGATTAAGTATTGTAACTCGTTCTCATTATTGGATCCTTGGAGAAAAATGTGGATTTTCAGGCTCTCCCTTGGGGTGTGCCCAACGGATACCGCCCGATGTAGCTTGCTTTCGGGGTGCTTAGTGTCTGGTGGAAGACGAGCACCTCCGTAAGTGTGTTATTTCAGACGATTCTGCCACACTCAATGCTCAACACATGCACAACACAAGACAACAGACATGTTGCATACACCACTACTCACACTATGGTTAGTTTCAACACTAAACTAAAGCTCGATATCATCACTTGACAATCACTCATCACTTATCCACACATGGGCACAATCCACCTTATGTTCGCAGTTTGACTTGCACAAATCTCATTGTTGCATCCTTTTTGGAACAAAGGGAGTAAGATCTTTCGATTATCAGATGTTTTTTAGTTGGTATTTTTCTATCCTCAATGTTCTATATACTGGTTGAGTATTTTGAATTGATATCGTCATTTATGTTCTTTATTATATATTATATCTTTTAATGTATGACTAGTAAAATTTCTAACATTCTATTATTTAGCCTCTCTGTTGGTTCATTTCTAGATTCACCACTGTTTTGTAGATATAAATATTGATATTATTTTCTATAAACTTGACCAAATTAAAGAAAGTTTGACTAATTCAAAACCTAGAATTGTACTATTTCTGGAACCACCACTGTTTGTAGATACAAATTTTGATACTATTTTCTATAATCTCAATCAAATTCTATCGCTAAACTATTGAAAACCTTCTAAATAACCCATAAGGCGGTTTTGAAGGTGGTTTTGCTGATGTGACATATTAAAAAGTTTAAATAACCCCCCTAACATATCAAGAGTTGACTATATAACTCCTTCAACTTTAAAACCTGATATTATAGTCTTTAAAGCATCTAATAATGTTCAAATAACCCTGGGTGATCTTGTAGGACCATATGGAAACAGTATCCCACCACATTGGTCTAAGCACCCATGCTTACACGTAGGCCCTCTTTTTAGGTTTGCACCACCGTTTCGATGAGCACCACCTTGTCTCATGCTCCATCTCATGCATTCCTCACCGACATTTATCTTATGCATAGTGTATGTGCTGTTGTCATCCAACCCCTCCCACGTCCTTGCCCCTGCTCTCATTTTCTCCTCCTATGGCTACCGAAAGAACTGAAGGATGGTCGAATGGAGGATGTAAGAGGGGCTAGATGACGAGGATGCAAGCAGGGTGCTTGAGCTTAATGCCGTCGATGAGTTTCGGGAGGTGGAGAAAGAGACAAGATGTCGTGTTGCTCGTTGGGTAGTGGGTTAACCTAAAAAAGAGCAATGAGGTGGAGGCAGCAAATGGCCCTGCGTGCAAGCATGAGTACTTAGGCCCTTATGGCGGGAAAAGTTGTCCAAACATCCTACAATATCATATTTTATAGTTTATGGTTTACATAGTCAACCATTGATATGTTAAGGGGTTATCTTGATTTTAAATACGCCACTTTAGTAAAACCACCTTCAAAACCGTCTTAAGAGGTTATTCAGACGATTTTGAATATTTTATTTAAGGAGTAGAGTACTTAGTTTTATAGGTGACGAAGTGAAGTAGATAACCATCACACTTGAACGGGTTAAGTAGACTCTTTTCATTCTATTGATTGAGACGTATTCCCTCCGTCCAGCATAGATTGTCATTCTTATTTTATGAGAAGTCAATCATTCATACCTTTGGCCAAATGTATAAAAATAGTAGTCGTTAGATGAACAATAAAATTTATTTCCATAATAAATTTATTTAGAGATATAAATATTACTAATATATTTTACTGATCTAGTTAATTAACTTTTAAAAAATGAGCAGTAACTCGTCGTTCACGGATCCAGCATTTACCGCTTTGTGACAAGTGAGAATAGAGCAGCAAAGAGCAAAGGTGAACACTGAACAGAGTAGTGAACGTGTTGGAATGGACGCCCTGAAAGGCCGAAGCTCACAACAAGCTGCAGTCCCTGACCTGCGGGTCCACTCAGCAAAATGATGTGGGCCTACATGTCTGTGTCCCGGAAGAGTCATGGAAACGGCCGGTTTCTTTGCTCGCCTTGATCGTCTTCCGGCCGGCCACTTTCCCCACCCCTGCCTCGGTGCCTCCCCGCCATTCCACTCCACTCCACAAGCTCTCCTAGTCTCCTCGCTGCTGATTCCTCAAAGATCAACGCCCAAGGTTGGCGCTTGTCGGGAGTTAGCAACTGCCGCAGGTGAGGCCTATCTTTGATTAACAAGCGTGCGTTGGCAACAGTGCACGGCGTCGTCTTCGCGCGGCCCCTCGCTTAGGGGAGGGCGGCGGGCGCGCCGGTGTGCTTACCGCCGGCTGCGGGCGGTGGCGGGGCGGACGGGCATAGGGTTAAGTTTTGAGCTTTGGGGAAATCTCCAAAGTCCTCGGGCCCTAGGGGGATAGCCGGGGGCGGTGGGCCGGCCTGGCGGCGGTGGCGGTGAGGCGAGGTGGCCACGCGTCAAAGCCTCCTCTTCCTCCTGTTGGTTTGCACCCCTCGCATCTTCTAATCGGTTCTTGTTCCAGCATATTCGACGCCGGCCACCTGCTCGACAGAATGCATCCTGGGGAAAGCAGCAAGAGAGCGGCGCCTCCAGCGCTCAGCAGCGGAGGCAGCATCGACGCCCTACCGGACGGCGTCTTGGAGCACATCCTCGGCTTCCTGCCTGCGCCGGAGGCCGTGCAGACGTGCGTGCTCGCCCGCCGCTGGGGCTACCTCTGGAGGTCTGCCCCTGGCCTGCGCGTTGGGTGGCTGGGTGATGGCCCAGGCCTGCACGTTGGGTGGCCGGGTGATGACGAGCAGGCCTCGCCGCCGGTGAAGGAGCACCGGGAGTTGGTGGACCGCCTGCTCCTCCGCGGAGGTTCGCCGCTTGGCACGTGTGACATCAGGTTGGGCGAGTTCCAGGACGATGACTTGCCACGCGTCAACTTCTGGGTCTGGCATGCTATATCGTGCAAAGTAAGGCAGTTCACGCTCAGTATCCATTGGCATAGCTATCTTAAGCTAGAAGATCTGCCTCTCGTCTCCCAGCACCTCTCCAGGCTAGAGCTGTGCGGAGTATGGGTCGACAACAGTTTTCTTGACTTCTCCAGCTGCCCAGCCCTGGAATATCTGGAGTTGCTTCAGTGCAATTTCTTGATGGTCAAGAACATCTCATCTGACTCCCTGAAGCATCTAAGCATCACAGAGTCTCGTTTTCCTCAATTCATGTTCAATGATGTTTTACAGACTCCCAGACGCACTTGCATTTATGCGCCAAATCTGGTTTCACTGCGCCTAGATGGCCTTGAGAACTTGACTCCCATGCTTGACAGCACGGGATCAGTAGTGGAGGCATTTGTCTGAATAACAGAGGATTGTGGGGACTTATGCGTTAAGCTAGCTGAACCAGACATCACAGATGATTGTATTTGTGAGTTGTGTGACAGTTCTCGTGGTGGCACCGGCTATAGTTGTGTGCTTTTCCAAAGTTTATCAAAAGCTAAGGGTTTGGTGTTGATTTGTACTACATCCGACACGGTATGCGTACACTCTGCCTTAGTTATATTGATTTGAGAGCTTCACGAGTCGAGCATAAACTTATTTCCAAAGCATTATCTACAACATTAATTGCTGGGAGTTGATAGATGCCAGTTAGACGGGGTTTGGCTTTTGCATGCGGTGCCACCAACTATGCTTATTAAACTCAAACCATAGGCTCAGAATGAAGATCATTCTATCGTCTTTGCATGCAGTTGCCCCAGATTCTTTTCAAATGAGATTTGAGATGGTGCCCTGTATTCAGCATGTTAAAGACCTTGGTGCTCAATGAATATTGGTGTGTTCCTGATGAGGCCAATCTATTACTTTGTATTCTTGAACACTCACCGGTTCTTGAGGAGCTCAACAACAACAACAACAAAGCCTTTAAATCTCAAATAAGTTGGGTAGGCTAAAGTTGAAACCTAGCAGAAGCCATCAAGGTTCAGGCACGTGAATAGCTATTTTTCAAGCACTCCTATCTAAGACTAAGTCTTTGGCCTTTCAAGTCTTCTTTTATTGTCTCTACCCAAGTCAACTTCGGTCTTTCTCTGTCTCTCTTCACGTTACTATCCTGGCTTAGGATTCCACTACGCATCGGTGCCTCTGGAGGTCTCCGTTGGATATGTCCAAACCATCTCAACCGGTGTTGGACAAGCTTTTCTTCAATTGGTGCTACCCCTAATCTATCACGTATATCATCATTCCGAACTCGATCCCTTCTTGTATGACCGCAAATCCAACGCAACATACATATTTCCGCGACACTTATCTGTTGAACATGTCGTCTTTTCGTAGGCCAACGTTCTGCACCATACAACATAGCAGGTCTAATCGTCGTCCTATAAAACTTGCATTTTAGTTTCTGTGGTACCCTTTTGTCACATAGGACACCAGATGTAACACCCTAGGTGTTAGCCTTGCATAACTTGACTTGCATAGCATAAGCATGATCATCAAGCATTCATATATATGCATTTACCCTTGAAACATTCAATTGAAACATGTGCAACATTTCTTAGTATTTCATGTTTTCATATGAATATACATATGATTATGAGTGTATACATGTGATTGGTTGATATGAGTCACAAAAACATGTTAGCAATACTTAGGTTAGCAAATGGAACATTGTTCATGAATGTCACCTTTCATGATCAAACACTTAAGTAATGTTACGTGTGTTAACCTAGATAGCACTATGTGTGACCAATGCATGAAATGAGTGTGTGACTTTGCAAATAGCTTAAACATGTTTAGAAGAACATTATGAACAACTTTGGTATTCATGGTTAGGGGCAAATTGGTCACTAAGCCCTAGTTTGAATGTATACCATTATTTGAATGTAGCATGTTTGACCAAGTTTGAACTATATGATAGAGACTTTGCATGGATGTGTGCACTAAAGCAAAGTTGTAGTATTTGATATGGGGAACAACTTTTATTTTTGGGTCATGAGATAATAAGGTGCATAGCTTAGTCTTTTTGAGCTCACAAGTTTCAACAATTCACTGTTTTTAGCACTTAGGAAAATTTTATAAGTGTTTGACACCGACAGTTTGAGAAGCCTGACTTTGGAATGAAATAACTCGAGTTTGGTTGAGATTTCGCACATGACTCTTTAAGAACAATTGAAGCTGGTATAGGGCTACAAAAGTCGTGTAGATAATTTACGTTGTGGAGCTACGGTTTAGCGGTTAAATCACTTTGAAAACGCGCTGTCAGGTTGCTCCTTATTGCGATTGAACGAACTGAATCGAATCGCTTCGGTGGCCGACCGGTATCGAGATAGAGCCGCGCGTGGAGCGGTGGCTGGTCAGCGTCACAAGGTCGCCGACGCTTCATTTAGCCAGCGCCCCTCCGAGCCAGAGCAGGCCATTATCACCCCGCACTCGCCCGCTCCATCCCCGCGCTTCCATTTTCATTTTCGGCCTCCTCATTCGCTTTGTCGACAACCGCCCGCAGCGCTGGAAAGTCGCCGTCGCCATTCCCGCACCACTAAAGCTCCGCCTCGCTTCCCCACCACCGCAACCACTCCACCGTCACCTCGAGACTCACCAGCTCGCATTGGCCACTAGCCGCGCGGTAAGGCCTCCGCGACCGCGCTGAGCCTCGCCGGGCATCCGCCGCGCTTCGTCACCGTGGCTGGAGCACCTCCCTCCACCATCGGCCGTGCAACCTCGTGCGCTAGGTTCGTCTGAGTCCGTGGAAGCTCGTCCACGCTTTATATTGCTTCGCCGTGGTCTCCACCGGGCGTGGCGCCCCGCTCCCGGCCTGTAGTGCACGCCATGGCGCCCGCCAGCCGTCGTTGCACCGGCGATAGGCCCCACTTAGTAGCTCAATCGGTGCGCTAGGTCAAGGAGGTCACGGTAGTCCGGTTCTCTTCGCCGACGACGCCGCTGCGTCGACGAAGTCGTGGCTTGTAGCCGCAGACAACAAGCGCCGCTACTCTGTTTCGTGTCACTGACGTGTGGGGTCAGCTGACCGGTGGACCCTGATTGCCCGATGACTATAGGCGAAAAGATAGTGCATTTGTTTCTTGTGTTATGTGCAACTTTGAAAATTTATAAGTGGAGCTGTGTAGATCATAAATTTGTGAACTAAATTTCGTAGTGTTCCTTAGGGAGTGTAGTATTTATGAAAATATGATACTAGCATTTGTAGTAGAATTTCTAGAAGATTTAAAATGAAACTGAAAAGGTGTTTTTAAATGTATGTAAACTTGTTTATTTTATATCTAGAGTTCCTGTGCTCCAGAAATTATGAAATTTTTGTGGTAAGCTATTCTTGACATGTATGAGCTCTGTAAAATTTGAGGTCAGCACATGTATAGATCTGTAGTTATAGATTTTTCTTTTATAATTAGGAGGTCCTTATATGAATTTTATAAATTATTTAGGAATCCAATATTCATGAAATTTGTTGGAGGTTATCCTAGTACCATATGGATGCTAAGAAAATATAAAATCTGTTGTTGACACTTTTCACTAGGGTTTTCTATTTATGCTATTTCAAGCCTTGCTGCCTTGTCATTTTTGTACAGGATGTTTTACTTGACAAAATGGCATGAAACTTTTTTACAGTAGTCTATTGGTAGCACTAGTAAGCCACTGTAATTTTCTAAGAATTTATGATGCACATTTGATATATGTTTATTATTTAACCTAAGTATCTAAGTAAAATAATAAAGGCATTTAAAGAAATAGTTTGGGCTTCACCATTATATTTTCTTGAGTGTATTTGGTATGCTTAAACTGTTGGTAGACTTTGGGTTGTAAACATTTGAGTACTTATATGAAGTATAAGTATTGTTACTTTATAATGCGAATTGGAATAGTTTTCGGACCGATTCTGTGGTTTAGAATGTTGCATAGTCAAAATGATGGTTACTGTAAAAATGGTTAATAACAAAGTTGTAAGTAACTTCTTCATGTATCTTGTGTTAAAATTTCAGGACCATAGGCCAAAGGGTTTAGGAGTTATAGCTGTTTAAAGTTAGTATTCCCGAATTGCTTACTCTCTGGAATTTCTGGACAGCGCTAGATTGATTGTCTGTTTTGGTTAAGATAAAGTGTGAATTAGCTTTTGGTGATTAAGTAAGAGTTGTAGACAATTTTATAAGCTTTCCAGAAAGTCTAAGATCACAACATTTGGATAAGTAGAACTTCAGTTATAAGTAAAACAAGCAGATGCTGTTTTGTGTGTAGTGAATGAATTATAAATATGTTTGATTAAGTAATCAAGAAGAGATATGCACCTACTCGGTAAATTATGATGCATTTGTTAACACCATGATGTTAAGAATACTTATACGAATGCATTCATCATGTGTCATCATTTTATACTTGTACGCATGTATGCGTTCGCAATACCTTATGCCATATTCATGCATATAGGATCGACAGAGGAAATAACGTTGCTGGAATTCGACGAAGTAGAGGAAGGGGACCAGCAGGAGAATCCTCAAGTCGCAGCTCCCAAAGGCGAGGAGCAGAATCCTGAAGAGCTTCCGGAGTGCCCTGATCACCGCCCTACTGCTTTTCTGAAAGGCAAGCCCCGGAGCATTATAAGTCTCCTGATATTTTACAAATGATTACTTAAGTACTTATGATTGATGCATTAGGTTATAAGAGTTGAATGGAAACACTTGATGCATGGAACTACCTTGTCCGAGATATATACACCTTTCACCCTCAGATAGGTCTAGGATCGAATATATGCTTAGCCTGCTTAGACCGGTAGAAGTCGGGTGATTTCCTGTCACCGCGATATATAGGTGGATACCAAGCACGGTCGGCTATATTGCTATCGTGGAAAGAACCAAGGGTAAAAGTAAATCGAGACCGGGTGGGATGTCGATAGAGAAGCAACAAGACATGGAGGTCTTGGGTGTGGATCTATCTCCGCCTCAGGTTTCGATTAAGGACCGTATCGTTGTTGGCACTTTTGACAAGGTTGAACGCATGCCATCACTTAGCTGCCCGGATAACTTCGTTCCGACCGCTGGCCGAGTAGCTCAATTCAGTGCCGGGACCTGCTCACAGTGCACTCCTTGCGGGGCGTCGATCGACCGAGCCAAGGGCAGGCTAGGCCTCGAACGTCCTAGCATCCGGGGTGTCCCAGACAGCGGCGCCAGCATTTGGACCTCGCAAAATGTATTACCGAAGTTGTACCAAAGGTGACCCGACGCGACCCTCGGCGAGGGAAGTGTGGGTTTGTGTTAGGGAATAAATTCCCCTGGTTGAAATCTATTCAATCACCGCCTCTCCCGAGATAGTGAGAAACTTGGCTAGCCCCAACATCGTAGTAATTGTATTATGGAACA